CTGATCATTTCCTGGCCCCCAGCATCGCCCCATCCAAGGCTGGGCTCTCAGAAAGGATGCCCGTGGGCTCCTGTCTCTCCCGCATTCCCTTTCCCAAGTCGCCCTGGGCTACCATCTGTTTCCTGGTCTGGGTGTTCTCCACCCACTCCAGCATCATTCATCTTGAGGGAACTCTGCAGCCTCCCTTCCAGGCTTGAGAGGGAGTGGCCTGAGTTCGAATGATGACACTTGTCCTCCTCCAGTGATTTCTCCCCCTTCTCGAACTGAGCCTCAGTTTCCCCAGCTTGGACTAGAGGATTCAATGGAATCAGGGTGTTGTGTCTAATACAGGGCATTCCTCTCTCTCTCTAACCATCCAGTTGAACCCCAGCATTCAGATGCAAATGCCCTTCTCGGCTCAAACTCCCTGATGACTGTCCTGGGGGAGCTCCGAGCTCTGGGTCTGTGGGGCCCAGGAGGCAGCTCAGAGAGGTGACAGTAAGGCGGAGACAGACTGAGAGAAACCCAGACACAGATGAGAAGCTGGGAAGCAGAGACTGAGGGAGGGGGCCTGAGAAACACAACACTCCCGCCACCATCCCCCCTCCCAGCCCCCTCCCTCAGCACGTCTCTCTGGCTCTCCTGACTTCGCACTGATGTATTTTGAGAAACTCGTGAAAGGAGGCGAGAAAAAGGGTGGGGAGGGGCTGGAAGAATCGGAGAAGAAGGGGTGAGGTTATCTCAGCTCCCCTACCCCATCTCCATCGCTGCGCCATCCTCCTGCCCCCTCCCTTCTGTCCAGCTTTATTCCCATCTCTCATGTTACTAGAAGGTGGGGTAACTTCGGAGCTAGGAGGGGGTCTGCAGCAAGCAGGACTAGTGTTAGACTTAGAGAAGGACTCTCATGGCCTAGTGAGATGGGCTGAGGGTCAACTAAAGATGGGGTCAGGATTGCGGGCCAAGCGGACAGGGTCTGAGGGAATGGCGGCGGGGGCACGGTACTGATGAGGCCATTGCCTCCCGCGCTGTGGCCAGATATTTTTAGGCTTCTCTGCAGCTGAGTAATTTCTCTGACTTGGAGCCAGGGCTGGGGTTGGGGGTGAGAGACTGGGGGAAGGTGTCCAGATTGCCCCGGGGACACGCAGGTCACTGGGGTCATCTCTCTGGCTGGGAGGAAGTCCCTCTTAGCTCTAGCCTACATCCTTTGGGTAGTCGGCCCTACCCCAGAAGCCTGCACCTCCTTTCTCCCCCAGAGATCCAGGTCCCCTGGCTTCTTCCTCCCAGCTTAACTCTCCTCAAGGACAAGGACCAATGGGCCCCAATCCGCTTTAGCTTCAGATTAAACTCTCTGAGAGACGGAAACTGAGAAAGGCGCAGAGATGGAGAGACCCGGGCTGGGGGGATAAAAGCCTAGAGATAGAGGGACAGAGACCCAAAAGAAGAGGGTCAGAGACCCAGAGAGGGGAGACAGACACCCGGCGGGGGGACGCAAGCTGGAGGGGCGGGGGGGAAGGACACAGACCCAGAAAGAGGGATTGATAGAGATCTAGAGTGAGCAATGGCCAGAGACTCCGAGAGAGGGGGACAGAGACTCAGAGATAAAGAGAATAGAGACCCAGAGAGAGGGGGACAGAGATGCAGAGACAGAGAGAAGATAGGTAAACAGAGACCCAGAAGTGGGGGAAGCGTCAGAGACCCAAAAGGTGGGGGATATACAGTCCCAGAGAAAAGGGCAGCGCCTGGGGTGGGGTGGGGCGCAGAAAAATGAAGGAGAAGATGCATGAGACAAGACCACAGGACCAGAGAGAGGGGCGCCGTCGGCGACAGAGGGAGAAAACTGGAAAGATGGGTGGACCCCCCCCCCATCCAAGGGTATCACCCGTCCAGCTGTCCGTCTGCACCCAAGTGGGAATGAGCATCTTCCTCAGACCCTCGCTCTCTTCCCCGCCCAGGACCCCCACCACGCTCACCGGTGCAGCCTCCCGAGGGCGCGACCCGCTAGCTTCCGAAACTCCTCCTGGCGGAACTCCATGGTGGCTGCCCCTGCTGCCGGTACCCCCCGCTGATCCCCCCGCCCGCGGGCCCGGGCGGCCGCGTCCGGGTCCCCGGGGTCTGCCCCGGCCCGGCCGGCCCCGCAGCTCCGCTCGGGGGGAAGGAGCCTGCGAGCGCTGGCTGCAGGGGGGCTGCCACTGCACTCGGCGTCGGGGGCGGGGCGGGGAAAGGCCACGCCCATCCCTGCTAGACCCCGCCCCTCGCATTCTAGTCCCGCCCCCCTCCCGCAGCCCTTTATCTCTATTCTGTCCCCGCCCAAGACCACGCCTCTGGCTTCTGAACTGAAGTCTTGCGGGAGTTACTCGCCCCTGTGCCACGCCCCCCTCCCCACCCGTCCAGCGCCTTCTATCCTAGATTTTCTCTCCTCCTGAGTTCTCTTCCCCAACTGAGATTTGTCCCCCTCACTTCAGTTTCCCCTAAATTCGTCCCCGCATTTTCGTCCTCTGTGCTTCCATCTTCCTCTGAGTTTCCTTCTGCGTTTCCTCCTCCCAGTCCCATCCCTCCGAATTTCTGGGCCCTCCAGTTCTACCTCCCGCCCCCCGAGTTCCATCCCCAACCCGCGTCATCCCCAGATCCAGCTCTCTCATTCAGAGGGTACTTTTCTCATTCAGAGAATTCTTTCCCCCGGAAATCCCAACCCCGACTTCGATGCACCCATTGTCCCCTCGAGTTCTTCCCTCATCCAGTTTCCTCCCTCTTAACTTCCATCCACCTGTGTCCGCCTTTCCCCTTTGGAATCCCACGTCCCTCCAGGTCTACTCCCCCTCTGGGCGCATCCCCCTCCCAGTCCCTTCGCCCCGATTTCCTTCCCTTCTGAGTTCCACCCCTACAGTTATATTCCGCGCCCCCCAGTTACAGGTCATAATTGCCTTCCCACCCTGGGATCTATCCTGCCCTTTGAGTCCTGTCTCCAACCCCTTTGAGTTGTTTCCCCGCTCCCTTGGATATTTCTCCACCCCCTGAGTTCTGTCCTCGCTCTCAGAGTTCTATCTCCTTCTCTGGGATCTGTCCCTGCTGATTTTCGCCCTCACCCCCTGGAATCTGTCCATCTGAATTCTGTCCTCACCCATTGGGTTCTCTCCCCACCGGCTGAGTCCTGTCCCCTCCCGCTGAGATTTGTCCCCGCCCACCTCCTGGATCTGTCCCCACCCTCTGAGTTCTTGCTCCACCCACTAGTTCCAGCCCCGCCCCTCTGGGGTTGAACCCCGACTCTTTTGAGTCCCCAGCCGGCAGGCGCGTCCTGCCCGGCTCCTCTCTCCAGACCAGCCCCCTCCCCGACGCTGAGTCCACTGCCAGAGGCAGGCCACAGGAGCGTGCTCCCTTCCCCCCCTGCTTCGGGCCGCAAATGCATTTGGGATTAAATTTTCATGATGTGGCACAGGCCCGCAAGGGGGTGGGAGGGAGCAGTCGGTGCAGCGGGCGGGCGCTACGGACGGGGTGGCCTGGCTGCCACTGCCCGCCGCGGCCTCTCGCCCCTCGCCTTGTCTCGCTGGGTCTCTGGGTCTCACAGTTTTGCCTATGTTTGAGAAAGCCCCTGATTCCCGGGGAGCCCGGACCCCTGGGTCCCAGGGAGGAGTAGCCGGCGGAGCAGTCCCCACGCGCCACCCTGTGGCGGCAGAATTCCCTGCCTGGGTGCGGAGGCGGCGGCCGCGGCTCCGAGCCAGGTGTGAAGGTGGAGCAGATGGTGAAGAGGAGGGAGGGGGAAGGGGGAGCCGCTGCTGCCAAATCTTCGGCCTTCGCCGGAACCATCACCATGGAGATAGAGGAAGGCGGAAAGGACCCAGCCCCACACTTTTTCAAGACCTGGGAATGAGTTTCTCGGCCTCCCAGGGAGAGTTCCCGTGTGAACTACAAGTCCCAGCGGCCGCTGGACCTCACCGTTTGCTTCGAAAGGGTCGCGTACTCCGAGGGCCGCTGGGAGTTGTAGTTCTGAGACCGTGGGCTGAGGATACATTGCGCCCTCTGGTGAACACGGCGACCACGTTTGCTCCTTCAGAGGCACCACTCTATCCGATGTCATCCCCTACCTTTGCGCCTTCTCACCATCTACTCCCCCTCGCCCCCAATTCACTCCGTTCCAGCCACACCGACCTCCTTGCTGTCCTTCCAACATTTACCACTGAGGCTCCTCTATTTTCTCATCCTCCTAGGACTCGCTACGGAAGGAGAGGCTGTTGGCAATCATTCATTCATTCAATAAATATTGAGTTCCTACTGTATGTCAGGCATTGTCACACCACAGGGGACACAGCTGTGAGTGTAACCCTGGGTATTGCGGACCACCAGAGGAGGATTCTAACTCAGCCGGGAAAGATCAGAGAAAGCTGGAAATTTGAAAACCTTTCCAGGGAAAGCTCAATAAAAGGATGATGGGGATGCGGGGGTGGAGGGGTTAGTATCCGCAGCAGAGAAAATGATACTTGCAGAGTCGGGAAGTGGGAAAACAGTGATTGTGATGTGAATTACAGTTCCAGGAATGGGCAGCTTCTCAGTTCGAGGGGTAGGAAAGGCTAGAGATGATGGCGTGGGTCTGATCACCAAAGGGCTGGGGAAACGTCCCCTGTGAGGACAAGACGACTAGAAATGTCCTGGGTTGTATGGAGCAAATTGTAAGTAGAGGGAACAGCAGAAACTAAGGTGCAAAAAAACCCGTGTGGTCAGAACACTGTTCAATGTGACTAGTCTGAATAAGAGGGAGGAAGAGGCCAAAATGAGGTGTGAAAGGGGCCAAACCACAGAGCCTGGAGGGTTGGGCTGAGGGGTTGGACCTTTTCCTGGGGGCGCGCGGGAGCCAAGGAAGGGCGGTGGACGGGGAGGGTGGGGAGAGACTGGAGGCACGGAGGCCAGAGGGAGGATGCAGGGGAGAGCGCGGGGCCTGAGCTGGGGCAGGGACCTCCACGGGCCTCCAGGGCTATGGTCCAATGTCCCTCTTCCTTCCCACTCCCCTGTACTCCCAGCCAGAGACAGAACAATGGAAACATCTTTTATTTCAATTTTAGAGAAGCTACCAGCCTCTTCTCCCCACTCGGAAAGATGGGCAGACAGCCAGTCAAGAAGGCACCGACAGAAGGGGCATTGCCACCATCAGTTGCTGAGGAGAGAGAGGAAAGGGGAGGAGGATTCAGGACCCAGGAGTCCAGCCCCCAGCCCCCTCCTCCCTCAGACCCAGGAGTGCAGGTCCCCCAGTGTCCCCACTTCCCTGCACCTCCCCCTCTTCCCCCCATCACCCTAGGTACCCTTCTCTTCCGATGGAAGGCCGCCTTGCTCTCGTCAGAGTTGATCCGCAGGGGGATGTAGGCATCCAGATGGTACAGCTGCTGGGGGCCCCCCACCACCAGGCGGTTCTCGCCAATCTCCAGCGACAGCCCCAGAGCTCCATCCTGGGGATGTGGTGGAATCAGCCCACCCCTCCCTTCCCAGCAACAGGGTGATAATAACATGGACCCGGGAGAGAAGCCTCGCATGTTGGGATACCATATTTAAAGGGTCTCATCTCCCAGGGAAGAGATGAGAGACAGTAATTACAGGTCTCCCAGAGTGAGCGCTTACAATGCTCTGGGCATCCTCGGGACACCGGAAGTGAGCCTGAGGGCCCCATGGGACAGAGGAGGCCCCACGCTCAGAGGGCAGCAGTAGCCAGGCTCACACAGGTCCCGAAACAAGCCCAGATCACTCCTTCTCGGAAAACCCAACCCTTGCAGACCTCATTCTCCCACTCTACTCCAGCGTGCACTCACCAGTTTGGGGAGGTCAATTTCAGCCAAGAGGAGATCAGGGGCTTCCAGCCAAAGGTTCAAGTGAGGCTTTTCAGGGCTTGGGAGGAACGAGACTCAGAATCACAAAGATCTGCCAGGTCTTTGCTGAGGCTGTTCCTTCTGCCTGCATGCTGTTCCCTCCTCTTCTCCCTCTCACCAGCCCTGCTGCCTCAGGATGCCTTCTCAGTGGGAGTTCTGCTCCTCCCCTCTCTGGGTTCCCAAAGCTCCAGGACACCGCCTGGCTATGGGGAGGGAGGGACTGCAAAGAGCGTTGGGGAAACAGGAGAGAGGGAACTCATCGAAGACCCACCTTTCCTCAGGTCGGAGGGAGTCGGGAGTGTACAGGTTCTCCAGCTCCTGGATCCGAGGACGCTGCCGGGACCGGATATTCTGCTGGGAGATGGAGCCCAGGAAAGCCCGGTTCTTCAACATGCGCCACTCTGCGGGGAAGGTGCGCAGGGTCAAAGGTCCCATGGGTCAGGGTTCCCATGGCTCCCTTAGGAGGTTCTACACTGGAAGAGCCTCCTGGGAGAGACTCCGACCCTCCGAGGATGCCAGGGACCTGACCACACCCTCAAGATTGGCTTTAGGAGCCCCGCCCACCTTGGCCCCGCCCTTCCAGGGGTATTAGCCAATAAAATCTGCCCCCTGGAGATACCGCTGGCTCCGTCCTTCACAGGCTCTCCAGACCCCGCCCCTTCCCAGGAATCCCGGGCCGGCCCGGCCCCCGGGTTCACCTAGGGAAGCCTCGCCCTCTCCCCTGAATCCGCAGCCTAGGGACTAAGAAAATCCTTGCCTGCACCAGCCCCACCTCTCCCAAAGTGGGAGACCTCTTCTCTCTCTTCTCCCTCTCCCCTCCCCGGTGGCCCAGGCCCTGCCCCCCACCTGGATTCAGCTGCAGGCTGTATTTGTCCTCAAGGCCCTCCCTGGCAATGGTGACCACGAGCTCTCGCAAGAAATCGCTGTTCTAGGAATGAGAAGCACAGAAGAGATGCGGGAGGGCTGGAGGTGGAGGAAGACGCCCCAGCCCAGGCCTCACCCGCAGCCCCGCCCCCAACCTGCATCCTCCGGTAGAAGTCGCTGTTGACAGCTACGTCGTAGGCGGTACAACCCTGGCCTTCTGCGGGGAGAGAAAGGGGGTGAGACCCCCAGGCCTCCATGGGAACGCCACTGCCCAGACACAGACACGAGGAAGAAACAATAAAGGACAGCAGCCACAAGAGCCAGAGAGATTCGGAGGCGATCAGGAAATGAGGACTCAAAACACGCATTTGCCAGTCTGGACTCTCATAACCAGTCTCCTCTCCAGCTCCAGCCTCTTCCCCTCTGGTCCTTCCCCACCGTGTCCCAGAGCTGACCCTGCCCCTCCCATGGCTCCCCGGTGCCCCCAGGCTAAGGTCTGAGTCCTTCAGCCTAGGCTGCAGGCCCTGTGTGGTCTACCCCTCCTACCTGGAAAGAAGCTCACTTTTCTAGCACCTTGTCCCTTTAAATTTCTTCCAAACACTCTTGATTACTGACCAGTCCAACTCAGTCATTCTCTCTGGATCCCTCTGTCCCCTCTGCCTAGAACTCTCTTCTCTGCCTTGGCCTGAAGAACACCTCTGGTTCTTTCAAATCTTATATCTGGAATTGCCTCCTCCAGGAAGCCTTCCCTGACCCTCGGTGGGGTTTAGAGCTCTCTGCAGCGCAGCACCAATCACACCACATTGAAGTCCCATCTGTCTCCTTCGCCCTTGCCCAAGACTAGGAGTTTCTCACCGGCAAGTTCCGGGCTTGAGAAGTCCCTACTCCCCAGGGCACTGCCCAAAGCTTGGTCGCAGGAGACTTCAGGGGACATATGTGATTTGAAAAAACAACGATATAGACACAGAAATGCAACAGAGACAGAGGTCGACAAGGCGGAGAGAGAGAGACAGGAAAGAAGGGAGGAGAAGAAAACAGGGATGAGGGCGAGAGCTGGCCCGGGACTACAGCCAGGAGATCCACTAATGAGTACACTGCCCAGCCGTCCCTCGGCCCGGGGTGGGGCAGGGAGAAGTGCCAGCCTGGATAGGTGGGCAGAACCAGGACTGCCCTATGCGGCAGGTGCTGGATGCCCAGGAGGCTAGGGATTCACCACGGGAGAAAGGATCAAATCAGAGGGGCCACATTTCTGGGTCCTGAGGGAGGAGGATCCTGGGCCCTGGATTTTTGGATCCTAGGGAAGAAAGGACCCAGGGGGCTGGATTCCTGGGTCCTCTGAGGGCACTGACTTGCATCCAGTTCAGCGTGAGGCTCTCCCAGACTCATAGGGATGCGAAACCCGGCTTGGTCCTCCTCCAGCATCTGAAGCAGCTCATCCTCGGTCACGTCAGCGGGAGGAGGGATGGAGGGTGAGTGGCAGATGTTGATGAAAACCTTCCCTTCCGATGAGTTGGTCTTTACGCAGAAACCTGGTGGGAATGGGTTTGTCCTGACCATCTGTCTCTGCATGGGGCTCAGTTTCTGTCCACGCACTCCTCGATCTCCGACCGCCTTTTGATCTGTCCTCCTTTTTGGGTCTCGGTCCTCCATGTTCTGGTCCGTTCCCCTCCCTGCCCCTAGGATCTCTGATTCTCTTTCTATCTTTGAGCCGCTGTCCCCCTAGTCACTCCTGTCCTCCCCATCCTCTCTTTGGATCTTGGCCCCTTCCCTGCTCTCTCTGGGTCTCTTCACTCCACCCCACCCCACCCCCCACCAGGCCTCTGTGCTCTATTACTGTCTCTTTCCTCTCTCCTCTCTGTGTCCCCAGCCCCCAGTCTCTGTCCACCTCTCTCTGGAACTCTGTCCCTCCCTCTTTGGGTTTCTGCCTTCCTCACCAGGCTGAGGTTGGATCTGTGTTGACTCTGGTTTGCTTGTCTGGGCTTGCTGGAGCTCCTTGGAGGCCTGTGTGAAGGAAAACAACCTCTAGATGTGGCGTCTGAGTTATCAGACCCCTCCTTTGTTCTTCAAACGTTTATCGAGCGATTTTTATGTATTTGAGCTGTGCAGGGAATAAGACATACTATGTCCTTTTCCTCCTTTGAGGATCCCAAAGAACAAACCCAACCCCACTTTCGTTTCTTCCAGAACCTAGCAAACTGGGAGTTCAGCAACTACAATTCCATGTAAGGCCCAGTTGCCGCCCTACTGCATTCTGGGAACTGTAGTCCCATCTCTGAGCACTAAGGGAAAAACACCCCCCGAATACCCAGGGACCCAGGAGCTGGTCAGGGCGCACCTGCAGCAGCAGCTCCTCGAAACGCGCCGTCTCAGCGCCCATCGTCTCTGCCTCGCTTAGCTCTGGCACCAGCAGCCTCGAGTCCGCCATGGCCCTGGGGAAGAGACCTAGGCGTCCTCAGCAACCCCGACGTGGGGAACCTTCGCCGGGATCCGAACTCTGGGGCCTGCGGCCGGGCCCTCAACCGACTCCCGACAGCCACGATTCTGTACGAAAATCTAAGAATCTGGCCTGAGACTACAATTCCACTCAGACCAGATACCGTCGTCAAATCCGTTGGGAGCCAATATCTCTAGATGCTCTCTAGGTCCTACCCGCCCCATGTGTAAATGACAGCCACACTTCCGGCCTCTGCGCAAGCCACACTTCCGATTACCCCGACGTTCATTCGTCAATCCCGCAACCGCATGCGCGCTACTGACCAATCATGGCCTAAATCTGAAGCCCCGCCTCTCACCTCAACCAATCAAAACTAAATCCTGAGACTGCGCACTAAGTGCCACACTTCCTGTGTCGCTTAAAGCCACACTTCTACCGACAAACACGTCTGTCCAACTAACGGGGCAATCAAGGCTGGCACACTTTCAAAACTTTAATTTCAATGTCCATCCTAAAAGACCCCCTTCTGATCTCTGAACTATCACTTCGTCCCAGAGCTAGAGTCGATTCTCTAGTAAACGTAATTTGGACTAAAAGCGGCACTTCCTGTCTCCCATATATGAACAGGGGGGCGAGAAGACACACCAATACGGTCACCCTTCTAAATCTGGAGCCCTCCTAACTATTTGCGAGGCGCCCACATTTTTGTTCCCTCTTCCCCCGCCGCTTTGAGGACTGCGCATGCTCCAAACTATATTCCCCAACGCGGGCCTGTAGGCGGGGTCACCGGGTCCTAAGGCGGGGTTACGCTCTATCTCCGTAGCCCCGCCCCTGGGGCTGGAGTGGGTGGTGCCGACTTCGGACCCCAAGGTTCCCCTTTGGCAGAGAGCCCCGCAGTCCTTCGTGGAAAGCGGCTCAGGCGGGGTGATGGCTGCGGCGACGCGCACAGCGCCCCGCGCCCGAGAAATCTTCACCACGCTGGAGTACGGACCCGCGCCGGAGAGCCACGCATGCGCACTGGTGAGGCCCTGCCTGGCCACACTGCCTACACGTCCCCCCTCACCTTCCCCCCCACTTCCAGGCCCTGTTTTGTGCGCGGACTCCCGTGATCCTCCGCGGCTGTTCAGCAGCCCCGCCCCTTTCCGTCCCTTGATTCCCGCCCCGCCTTAGACCCAGCCCTGGAGCATGTTCCCAGGAGCCCTTGCGGTGGCCGTCTCAGCCTTTTAGTCTCTTGCGTTGATTCTTAGGAGCTGCTGTGCTCCGCGCTGCAGAGCTCACGGAGGTGTTTCCCCGATTCCTCAGAACCCCCCCCGAGAGGCTCCTGGGATTCCTCAGGGCCCCCTCAGGATCTCCCGTGATCCCCCGGGACTCCGAATTCCTATGGGGCTCCGTGATCTTTCAAGGACACTCAGAACCCCCTCAGACCTCCCGCGTTTCCCCCAGAACATTCTGTGGCTCTCATGGTCCTCCAGGACCCCCCGCATTCCTGGGGGGCTCCCTTTCTCACTCGGAGACCTTCGAAACCCCCGCAGAGCCCTCGTGATTTCTCAGGGCCCCCTCGATCCTTGCGGGGCTCCTATGATCTCGGGAACTCTCAACCCCAGAATACATCAGACCTTACTGTAATTACCTGCTGCCCCTCCGAAGACCCCCGTGGGGCTCCCCTGACCCCTCACGGCCTCTCAGAATGTCCCTTGGGGCTCCCGTGATTCTTCAGGGCCTCTTAAGATCCTCATGAGGATCCCGTGATCCCTCGTGGTTCTTCAGAACTTCCCTAAGACTCACATGACCCCTCAGCGTCTCCCAGAACCACCTTGGGGTTCCTTGGTGCATAAGTAGGGTGCCTTGAATATTCTGTAGTTACCTAGACCCCTCAAAATCCCGCCGTGGGGCTCTCGTCATCCCACAGGGGCCTCTAGCACCCGGGCGTGGGAAGCTTGGGCTTCTCTTAATGGAGAGAAAAGGAGGCTGGCCAAGTGGAGGAAGATGAGGCCAGAGCCTGCGCGGGCTGTGGAGATGGAGAGGAGGGGATGAGGCAGAGATCCAGGAGAAACAGGGTATAGGGGATTGAGAGGGCAAGAACTGGGGTCTGGTCATGTGACTGCGTGGCTCTTCTGCCCCCACCCCATGGTGAACCTAGGAAGAGCCGGACTCAGGGGGGACAGAGGCTGAGCTTGGTTATCACATAATGAGTGTAAAGGACCTGGGGATAGCCTTGGGCTGTGGCAGGAGTCAAATGCTACTTGGGCCTGAACCTCAGATCTGGAAACGGACCTGGGAGTCACCCATGTAGAAAGAACCATGGGAGTGACCAGATTATCTAGAAATAGAGTGTAGACTCAGATAAGAGGATCTGGGATAAAGTACAGAGAATTCCCACACTTGGAAGTGAAGCTGAGCCCCCGGATTCAGAGGCCATGCCCCCACCACCACCCCAAGCCAAGGTGCCAGGGTCTCAGCCTTACAGTCTGTGGGCCAGACTCAACCCACAAACATTTTCTTTGGCCTGACCTTTATGTTTGAAAATGTGAATTAGCCAACAACTAATTCCGTGTAAACATCCGGGATTCCAGCTCCTCTTGAAAATCCAATCCTCAGAGTTGGCAAGCTTTGGCTCACAGTTCCTGACAAAAATCATCTGGATCCAGTAGCGACTGTTTTTAGACAAGTCCTGAATTCCCAGTCTCCAGCAGGCCCCCTTCTCGCACTAATATGGCCTGGCAGCACCCTGCGGACATTCTTTTAGAGGTTTGTTTTTCTTTGGGGAAAGTTTTGCAAACTTCCGCAGAATACTGATTATTCTGAACTCCTGTTTACCCATCGCTCAACTTCAACAATTATCAACATTTGGTCTAATGTTGTATCTCTTTGTTTTCTCCCTTTTTTCTGGAGTGATTTTAATCCCAGTTGTCATGTTATTTTCCCATAAATATTGTAATCCTCATTTCTACGAGATAAGGGCTCATTTTGTAATGTAACCACCGTGCCATTTTCACACTTGGCAACATTAACAGTCCTTCTTCAATATCATCTAATGCCCAGCTCATGTTCATATATCCCCAACTATTTCAAAAATGTCTCTTTCCCTGGGTGGCAGGGGCGGCGGGCCAGGGGGGAGGTATGTTTGAATTTGAGACTTCTGGCTGACCATTTCATTTTAAAGATTTTATTTTTCCTTTTTCTCCAAAATCCCCCAGTACATAGTTGTGTGTTTTTAGTTGTGGGTCCTTCTAGTTGTGGCATGTGGGACATTGCCTCAGCGTGGCCTGATGAGTGATGCCATATCTGCGCCCAGGATTTGAACTGGTGAAACCCTGGGCCGCCGAAGCAGAGCGCGAGAACTTAACCACTTGGCCATGGGGCCGGCCCCTGACAATTTCATTTTAAAGTAAGCAGGGTTAGAGAAAAATCGGGAGAATGTGGCATCGGGGAAGGTAAGAGAAAACAGAGTTTGTAGAAGGAAAAAGTGGGAGGCGTGTCTTGGATTTAGCAAGGATTTAGGGAAGACAGGACCAGAGAGAGAGAGAAACATTTAGCAGACGTGGAGGCGAAATGCAATAAAATTAATGGAAAGTCTCGGGGTCGGCCCGGTGGCGCAGCGGTTAAGTGTGCACATTCCACTTCCGGGGCCCCAGGTTCGCTGGTTCGCATCCCGGGTGCGGACATGGCACCGCTTGGCAAAAGCCATGCTGTGGCAGGCGTCCCACGTATAAAATAGAGGAAGATGGGCATGGATGTTAGCTCAGGGCCAGTCTTCCTCAAAAAAAAAAAGAAAGTCTTAAGTCGTGCTGCTCTGAGCCTGTGACGTGTATTGGTCTATTTGATCCTCACCATGGCCCTGTGGAGTAGGGAGGGACTATGATTATCCTCATCTGCCAGTCAGCTCCCAGCTGGCTTAGCCGAGGCCAGGGTGTTCGAAGGCCCTGGCTAAGGTTGCACAGCAAGTAAGCACTGGGGCCACATTCAAACCTGGGCTGTGTGGCCCCTAACTCCAGGAACTCGATGCTAGGCTGCCCCTCCTGCAACGCCCGTGTGCTGTCTTGGCCTCAGTTAGATGCCTCACAGCCAAATAAGCTACACGTGGCAGGGTAGCATCAGCCCTGTGTCTTCAGTGAGGGTCCACGTTTCTCCCGCACATGATGACAGCTGACAGCTGAGGTGGGAGGGAACGCCATCACACAGGTAGGCCTGGAAGCCACCTGGCATAGAAGGCATACATCCCGAAGAGAGCCTACTACCGCTTGATCCAGCCTCCTGGGCATTGCTTCCAGGGTCCTGGCAAGGGGCGTGCCCCGTCCCAAGAATGCACAGCACTCCAGAAAGCCCCAGTGATCTGGCTTCCTACTGGATATTTACGGCGTGTTCCCAGTTTCCCCAGGCCAGGGACAGTAGACCTGTCAGGGGTCGATGTTGCCTCAGAATGCAGCTGAATCGTATCAGGTTTCCAGGAAAATAGCAAGTTAACCTAAGGTCATTTCTCCATGGAGGAGAAAAGGCTTTGTAACTGCCAAAGGGGATCTTCTATCCGCCACAAGACAAGCCAACAGTCGGGAGGCAAGATGGTAGGAGAGAAAGGGTCTTTTATTCCAGCTTGCCAGCAAGGGGGAAGATGGTGGACTCGTGTCCTAAAGAACCATCTTAAAGCTACAAAATTTTGAAGCAGTTTTGTGGACAAATGGGCTACAAAGGGGGGGGTCTTGGGATGTTGACCATCTGGAGCTGTCGTCCTTGAGACTACAGAACATTCCTTTCTCTCTTCACCCACGACGGATATCAGCAGAGGTTTTTTTCCCGAAGGTCGTCACATCCCTGGAAAAGCTGAAAAAACAAAGTTATCGTCTTATCAGAATAAGGAGGTCTGTGTATAAGCCAAGCCTTCAAAAATAGAGAAGCAGATGTGTACTTTTCTAAGCTATGTGCGAACTGGAGCATTGCTAATGAGGAAAAGGGGGGTCTTGTTAGAGTCCCAACGTAGTTTCCCTCTATAAGATGGCTTCCCTTATGCTAACCATCGGCTGTGTTTATCTTAAGCTATTTAGGTGGCACTAACAGTTTCATTCATCTTACATTCACGTTTATGTTTAAAAGCCAATAGGGTACCCCTCATATGTTGCTGGTGGCAATGGGAAACTGCAGCTGCTGTGGAAAACAGTTTGGTGGTTCATCAATGTTACCCCTGGGGCTGCCATTTGACCCAGACTCTGCATGGGGACTGAGCTCTCCCAGCTGCCTCCTAGACCCCTTTCCAAACTGTCCCCCTCTCCCCCAGGCCTGGCTGGACACCCAGGACCGGCACTTGGGTCACTATGTAAATGGAAAGTGGTTAAAGCCGGAACGTAGGAATTCAGTGCCTTGCCAGGATCCCATCACAGGTATGAGGTGTCCCCAGTCATTCTGGGAGGGAGAGGTGTCTAGACCCCCAGCCGTACCCACCAACAACACCCCGTTCTCTTTGCTCAGGGCCCTGAGGGCAGGGAGCAACTGGTGAGAGGAGGAGGCTGAGATTTCCAGCTCTTTCTGATAATCAGCGTCCTAATTATGGTCCCAATTCCCTGTGGATACTTTTTGAAGTCACTGTCTACTAAAATCCCTTTCTTGTCTGTGGGACCCAGCCAGAGCAATGACCGATAGATTTATCCCCATTTGTCAGAGGGCAAAACTGAGACCCAGAGTAGGCTGGAGACAAACTTTACTGCCTTGGGATGCTACTGGGCTCCAGAAATCTCAGCCCCCTCCAGTTCTGACATGGGCTCCCTTCCCTCCCATTCATCTTCCCAGGAGAGAACTTGGCCAGTTGCCTCCAGGCCCAGGCGGAGGATGTGGCGGCAGCCGTGGAGGCAGCCAGGACCGCGTTGGAGAACTGGAGCACGCTCCCCGGAGCCCGTCGGGCCCAGCACCTGACCAGGTAATGTAGTTGAGATCTGGACCCCAGGAGGTGGGGAAGGACTTGGGAACAAAACTTTATTTCCCAATATCCCATTGAATTCATGGCAGCTAAGGCTCGTATTCCCAGCATGCCTTTGAGCCTTTAGCAACTAAAACATCTGTTTCCCACTATCCACTGGGACAGTAATGACAAAGCCTCTATTTCTCAGAATATCCTTGGGGCTCATCCGAGCTCCATTTCTCTGCAACTTACCGGGACTGGTGGAGCCATTTTCCAGCACATTCTTGGGGCAGCTGGAGACAAAGATTCCATTTCCCAGAGTGCAATTGATATTATAGCCTAAGCCTCAATTTCCCAGCACCTTTGGGGGTTACAAGTGGCCAACATCTTTACACTGCACTCTCAAGTGTGGAGTGTTCCCAGACTACATTTCCCATGAATCTTTGGTGCCTTCCACCCCTAGTAAATGGTGGGGATGCCCCCAGGGTTTCATGGGAATTGTAGTCCAGGTATATGGGGCATGTTCCAGGCCTCCGCCAGGCTGAGGGATAGTGGGAAATGACTTTCCCACTTGTTTTCTCCACAGGCTGGCCAAGATGATCCAGAAGCACCAGCGCCTGCTGTGGACCCTGGAGTCCCTGGTTACTGGACGGGCCGTTCGAGAGGTTCGAGACAGGGATGTCCCGCTGGCCCAGCAGCTGCTCCAGTACCATGCAGTCCAGGCACACACCCAGGAGGAGGCGCTGGCAGGCTGGGAGCCCATGGGTGAGAAGCAGGAGTCCTGGCCCCCAGCCCCCGCCTCCCTTATGACCCATCGGTGCCTGCCCCAGTCCCCTCATTTGTTCTTGCAGGAGTAATTGGTCTCATCGTGCCACCCACATTCTCCTTCCTTGAGATGATGTGGAGGATTTGCCCTGCCCTGGCTGTGGGTAATTGATGGGCTGGGGCCTGGACTTCTGGGTCTGAAGGAGGAGGGACTGGGAGCTGGACTCCTGGTCTGAGGGAGGAGGGGCTGGGGGCCTGACTCCTGGGTCTGAGGGAGGAGGGGCTGGGGGCCTGGATCCCTGGGTCTGAGGGAGGAGGGGCTGGGGTCTGGACCGCTGGGTCTGAGGGAGGAGGGGCTGGGGCTGGACTCCTGGGTCTGAGGGAAGAGGGGCTGGGGGCCTGGATCCCTGGGTCTGAGGGAGGAGGGGCTGGGAGCCTGGACTCCTCGTCTGAGGGAGGAGGGGCTGGGGGCCTGGACCCCTGGGTCTGAGGGAGGAGGGGCCGGGGGCCTGGACTCCCCAGTCTGAGGGAGGAGGGGCTGGGGGTCTGGACTCCTGGGTCTGAGGCAGGAAGGGCTAGGGGCTGGGACTCCAGGATCCTTGAGCTGCCTACCTTTCCCAGGCTGCACTGTGGTGGTCCTCGTGCCCCCAGCCTCCCCGGCGCCCCTCCTCCTGGCCCAGCTGGCAGGAGAACTGGGCTCATTCCCAGGAATCCTCAACATGATCAGTGGCCCTACCTCCCTGGGGCCAGTCCTGGCCTCCCAGCCTGGAGTCCAGAAGGTGGCCTTCTGTGGAGCTGTCGAGGTATTTTCAGGTCTGGGAGGGGGATGAGACACGGCTCGGGGGCTGGAATGCTCTTCCCTAAGCTGAACCCTGCGGGGGTCCCACAGGAAGGACGTACCCTTCGGCGGACCCTGGCGGGCCAGGGTCTCGAGCTGAGCCTGGCCCTGGGGGCCGAGTCGCTGCTGCTGCTGACAGAGGCAGCTGATGTGGACTCGGCTGTGGAGGGTGTCGTGGATGCAACCTGGTCCGACCGCAGCCAGGTGAGACCCATGCACTCATGTCCCCTCGTGTCCTCAGGGCTGTGCATTCTGTCCAGAGCTTGGGGCCCTGAGTCTCTGTTCATGTTCATTTTCAGTTCTTTGCATCCCAAAGCTCTATCTTTACACCGTCGCTTATGTGGGGCTCCTCATCACCCCGAGTTTCTGAATCCCCACGTCCTGGCTCTCGTGGTCTTACAGAGTCAGGGGCTCTGTATCTCTTATTCGTTAGGATCTCTTCATTTTTCGGAGTATCCATGTCTCTCGTTTTCCAACCTTTCTCTTCACCCTGAATCACCAACTTTCTGTAACTCCATCTCGTACCTGGGCTTCGGGGCCTCAGAGTCTCCAGGGTCCTCGGCCACTTTTCCCTGATCCCCCTTTAATGTGTTCATGTGTGTCCCTGAGTCTCGGCCCTCTGTGGGGACCTGTCCCCACCACATGGGCCCTGAGTTCACCTGCCCCGACACCCCTTTTCCTATCAGGGCGGCCTCAGGCTTCTCATCCAGGAGTCTGTGTGGGATGAGACGATGACACGGCTCCAGGCGCGGATGGGGCGGCTTCGGGTTGGCCGAGGGCTGGACGGGGCTGTAGACATGGGGGCCCGAGGGGCTGCCGCACGTGACCTGGCCCAGCGCTATGTGCACGAGGCCCAGAGCCAGGGTGCGCAGGTGAGCTGGGAGCAAAGACTCCGGGGTGCCGGCGAGGAGGGACCTGGAGACCCGACTCCCAGGTCTGAGGGAGGAGGGGCTGGGGCCTGAAACCCCGGGTCTGAGGGAGGAGGGGCTGGGGGCTGGGCTCCCGGGTCCTTGGGCGGGAGGGGCTGGGGGTGGACTTCTTGATCTATGTCTCTTTCTCCCCAGGTGTTCCAGGCTGGCGATGTGCCCTCAGACAGCCCATTCTATCCACCAACCTTGATCTCTGACCTGCCCCCAGCCTCCCCATGTGCCCAGACTGAGGTGAGCCCCGTAGGACCCCAGAGATCCTGTTCCATCCCCATGTCCTCAGCCTGATATGGGCAGCAGCACTCCAGCTGCGGAGGCCCCTGGGCTGGCCATTTGGCCTGGGTCTGGGGGCTGCTGACTACTCTCAGCTGGTCCCGCAGTGGGTGGGGTGTCAGAGGGAGGGGCTGGCCAGGCCGCCTGAACTCCCTCGTCACCCCTTCCAGGTGCCATGGCCTCTGGTGGTGGCCTCCCCATTCCGCACAGCCAAGGAGGCCCTGGCAGTGGCCAACGGGACGCCCCGAGGAGGCAGTGCCAGCGTGTGGAGCGAGAGGCTGGGGCAGGCCCTAGAGCTGGGCTACAGGTCAGTTGGCACCTGCAGGGGCCCAAGAAGCGGCCTGTTGGGATGGCCCAGCTTCAGTCTTGGTGTCCCCGCCTCTCTGTCTGGTCCCTCTCCCCACACTCTCTCTGATTCACTGCCCCCCTCAGCTTTCTCTTCTTCTCTCTGATGTCCCCCTCTGTCCCCACAGGCTCCGGATGGGAATAGTGTGGATCAATGCCCACGGCCTCAGAGACCCTGCCGTGCCCACAGGTGGCTGCAAGGAGAGTGGGTCTTCCTGGCACGGGGGCCCAGATGTGAGTGCCCCCTCCCCACCCATCCCACCCCTCCGTCCACCCTGTGGCCACCTTGCATCCTCTTGACACTGTCCCTCTCATAGGGTCTCTATGAGTATCTGCGGCCCTCAGGGACTCCTGCCCGGCAGCCCTCCCTTTCCGAGAATCTGAACTATGACACCTTTGGCCTTGCTGTCCCCTCCACCCTTCCAGCTGGGCCTGAAACAGGGCCCAGGTGAGCTGTTCCAGGGGCTGCAACGCCCAGAATCCGTGAGGGTGTGGACGGGGCGAGGGGAGGTTATGGCCAACTGGCCTGGAGGGCAATTTGTTAGAGCCATCGAGGGGCTTGCTGAGGATTGCATTCGGGGTCTGACGCCTTCACCCCGACCCCTGATGAGAGTCTTAATTCTGTTAAGTGAAAGTCTGCTCTCCCAGAGACTCCTGGGGCCAGGGATTCGGGGTCCCCCAGAGGCTCGTGGGAGCTGGGGTGGTTCATCCAATGGGAGGCCATGGGCTCTGAGCAGCCCTGGCCCCAGGACCCAGCCTCACGCGTCACTTTGCTCCAGCTCAGCACCCCCCTATGGGCTTTTCGTGGGGGGCCGTTTCCAGGCTCCTGGGGCCCGGAGCTCCAGGCCCATCCAGGATTCCCACGGCAATCTCCATGGCTACGTGGCTGAGGGCGGAGCCAAGGACATCCGCGGTGCTGTGGAGGCTGCCCACCAGGCTGCCCCTGGGTAAGCGGGTCGCACGGGAAAGCCCAGGGGTCGTGGGGCATCAGAGGGGGCAGTCTGGGACCCCCAAGGGCTGATGGGATGTGGGTCTGGCCCCTCACTCCCCTCCCCAGAAGGATGGGCTGTCGGGCCTGGACCCCCGGGGTAGGGGCTGCGGACAGAGGTGGGGCACCTGGGAAGAGCCGGGACCAGGATGCCGACCCCGATGTGCACTGTCCGCCCGCAGCTGGGTGGGCCAGTCGCCAGGGGCTCGGGCAGCCCTCCTGGGGGCCCTGGCGGCTGCGCTGGAGCGCAGGGAGTCCGCACTGGCCGCGAGGCTGGAGAGGCACGGAGTGGAGCTCAAGGTCGCCAAGGCCGAGGTGGAGCTGAGTGTGAGGCGGCTTCGGGCTTGGGGGGCCCGGGCCCAGGCCCAGGGCCACACCCTGCAGGTGAGAGGGGTCCGTGTGTGGGCAGCCAGGTGGGCAGTCTGCAGTGGGGTCAGAGCGGGGGCTCTGGAATGAGCAAGCCAGATGTGGGGTCCAGGCGCAGCCCCACTGGCTCCCAGCTGCATGGTCATCGGCAAGTGGCCTCACCTTTCTGCACCTTGATATTCTCATCTGTGTAATGGGCATATGGCTCACCTTATAGAGGAGCGTTTCAGATTGTTTTTAGTGACCCATTACTGGGCTGTAAAATCAACTTAGTGAGTTGGAACCATGAATTTTTTCTCTTTTCTTTTCTTTTTTTTTTTTTTTGGTGAGGAAGATTAGGCCTGAGCTAATATCCGCCACCAATCCTCCTCTTTTTGCTGAGGAAGACTGGCCCTGAGCTAACATCTGTGCCCATCTTCCTCTATTTTATATGTGGGACGCCTGCCACAGCATGGCTTGACGAGCAGTGTGTAGCTCCACACCCGGGATCCAAACCTGCAAACCCTGGGCTGCCCCAGTGGAGCATGTGAACTTAACCACTGTGCCAGGCCCCATGGCTTTTTTTTTTTTTAGAAAAAGAGAATAGGATAGAAAATAGAGAGTACATTGCACAGAGTATTTCTTGGTGTGACTTTTGTTTCATTTATGTACATAATATGCAACTGCATATGGATACTGGGTTGGTGTGACCCATATGGCGGGTCCAGTGAAGAAGGCAGGAGGATTGAGCGACTCGGGCGATGGCATAGGAGCACTCAGGGATGGAGATAACAGAAAGATAGCAAGTCATGGGACCTGGGTCTCCTCCATGAATGATTGCAGTCATACAATTATACGACACTATTGACCATGAGGAGTTGTGACGGAGACTAAATGAGTTGAGCACCTAAGGCCTGAGACGTAGCCAAAGGCTCACAAACTGTTTGCTTGTGGGTGGCCAATAAGCTCATTAGTCATTGGAGAAATGCAACTCAAAACCGCGACGAGATATCATTATGCACCCATTAGGGTGGCAACATTCAAAAGACGGACCATAGCAAGTGTTGGTGAGAATGTGGAGGAACTGAGACTCTCGCACCCTGTGAGGTGGATGTAAGAGGGACGACCCCTTTGGAAAACAGTTTGTCAGTTTCTTAAAAAATGAAGTACACTCTTACCATATAACGCACCATGATTCCTAGTTATTTGTTTCAATAGACTTAATTTGTAGGTTTTATCCCAAAAGAACTGAAAGCATAGATTCCCTAGAAAGACTTACATACAGTTGTTTATAGCAGCATTATTCAGAGTAGCCAAAAACTGGAAGCAATCCAAATGTCCCTTGATAGGTTACTGGAGAAACGAGGTGTGGTTCATCCACACAGTGGAATCCTGCTCGGCGGTCAAGGAATGTCCATGCTACAGCATGGATGAATCTCAAAATGACTGAGCTGGTGAAAGAAAGCAGATAAAAGACTCTATGATTCCGTATCTAGAAAGTTCTAGAAAACTCTAGAACATACAAACTAATAGAAAGCAGATCAGAGGTTGTCTGAGGACAGAGAGAGTTCAAATGGGGGCAGGAGGGAAGGAGTACAAAGGGGCACGAGGAAATTTTTTGGGGTAAAGTTCATTATTATCTTTATCTTTTTTTTTTTTTAAGTCTTTTGTCCTCTTCTTCTTCTTCTTTTTTTTTGGAAAGTTGGCCCTGAGCTAACATCTGTTGCCAATCTTCCTCTTTTTTTTTTTTTATTGTGGTCTAAATAGTTTATAATGTTGGGAAATTTCAGTTGTACGTTACTATTTGTCAGACGCGGTGTAAATGTGCCCCTTCATCCCTTTGCCCTCCCTCTCTCTCTTCCCCCTGCTAACCACGAAATTGTTCTCTTTGTCCATGTGTTTGTTTATCTTCCACATATGAGTGGAATCATCTGGTGTTTGTCTTTCTCTGTCTGGCTAATTTTGCTTAACATCATACCCTCCGGGTCCATCCATGTTGATGCAAATGGGACAATTTCATCTTTTTCATGGCTGAGTAGTATTCCATTGTATATACATACCACATCTTCTTTCCATTCATCCGTTGATGGGCACTTGGGTTGCTTCCACATCTTGGCTGTTGTGAATAATGCTGCAGTGAACATAGGGGTATATAAGTCTGTTTGGATTGTTGACTTCAAGTTCTTTGGATAGATACCCAGTAGTGGGATGGCTGGGTCATATGGTATTTCTATTTTTAATTTTTTGAGAAATCTCCGTACTATTTTCCATGGTGGCTGCACCAGTTTGCATTCCCACCAGCAGTGGATGAGGGTTCCCTTTTCTCCACACCCTCTGCAACATTTGTTATTTTTTGCCCTGGTCATTATAGCCATTCTAACGGGCAGAAGATGATATCTGAGTGTAGTTTTGATTTGCATTTCCCTGATGATTAGTGATGTTGAGCATCTTTTCACCTACCTATTGGCCATCTGTAGATCTTCTTTATAAAAATGTGTGTTCACGTCCTCTGCCCACTTTTTGATTGGGTTGTTTTTTTTTTTTTTTGTAGTTCGGTTGTGTGAGCTCTTTATATATTATGGAGATTAACCCCTTATCGGATATATGACTTGCAAATATTTTCTCCCAGTTGGGGGGTTGTTTTTTCATTTTGATTCTGGTTTCCTTTTCCTTCCAGAAGCTCTTTAGTCTGATGAAGTCCCACTTGTTTATTTTTTCTTTTGTTTCCTTGTCCAAGGAGACACGGTATTTACAAAGATCCTTTTAAGGCTCGTGTCAAAGAGTGTACTGCCTGTATTTTCTTCCAGAAGTTTTATGGTTTCCAGTCTTACCTTCAAGTCTTTGGTCCACTTTGAGTTTATTTTTGTGTATGGAGAAACATAATGGTCAAGTTTCATCCTTTTGCCTGTGGCTGTCCAGTTTTCCCAGCACCATTTATTGAAGAGACTTTCCTCTTTCTGTTGTATCTTCTTGGTTCCTGTGCTGAAGATTAGCTGACTGTAGACGTGTGGGTTTATTTCTGAGCTTTCAGTTCCGATCCATTGATCCATGTGTCTGTTCTTGTACCAGTACCATGCTGTTTTGATTACTGTGGCTTCGTAATTTTGAAGTCAGAGATTGCAATGCCTCCAGCCTTGTTCTTATTTCTCAGGATTGCTTTGGCTGTTCGGGGTCTTCTGTACCCCATATGAATGTTAACATTCTTTGTTCTCTTTCTGTGCAGAATGTCGTTGGGATTCTGATTCGGACCTCTTTTTTTTCCCTCCCCAAAGCCCCAGTGCATAGTCGTGTATCCTAGTTGTAGGTCATTCTAGTTCCTCTCTGTGGGACGCTGCCACAGCGTGGCTTGATGAGCGGCGTGTAGGTCCACACCCAGGATCCGAACCCACGAACCCTGGGCCCCCAAAGCAGAGCACGCGAACTTAACCACTTGGCCACAGGGCCAGCCCTGAAGTTCATTATCTTGATTGTAGTGGTTGGTTTCACATTTCTCAAAACCTATCAAATTGTACCCTTTATTTATTTATTTTGAGTTTCTTTTGGGGAAGATTAGCCCTGAGCTAACATCCGGGCCCATCTTCCTCTACTTTATATGTGGGCCGCCTGCCACAGCATGGCTTGCCAAGCGGTGCCATGTCTGCACCCGGGATCCGAACCGGTGAACTCCGGGCTGGCAAAGCGGAATGTGTGAACTTAACCACTGCGCCACCAGGCTGGCCCCCAAATTGTACCCTTTAACGTGTGTGCAGTTCGGTGAATGTCAAATATATTCAATACAGCTTTCACAAAAAACATACACGCACAAACAAACCCATGGGCCAGGTTCTGAGCCCTCAACACACATTAACTCATTTCATCCTAACAACAAATCTCTGTTGTAGGCACTGTGATTAGCCTCACTTTAAAGATGGGAAACTAAGGCCCAGAGAGGTTAAGTAACTTGCCCAGGGTCACACAGCTGGTGAGTGACAGAGCCGGAACTTGAACCCAGCACCTAGCTCCAGAGTCTGTGCTCTGAACCATCACCTGTTACATTGCTATAGGAATTGTGATGAAGCGAAGATGGGGATGAGAGGAGAGAAGGGCGGGTGATGGAGGAGGCCCTGGGAGGACAGTCAGGCTCCCCTGTCCCGCCCTTGACCTCCTGCCTGTCCCTGCAGGTAGCAGAGCTGAGAGGTCCCGTGCTCCGGCTGAGGGAGCCGCTGGGTGTGCTGGCTATCGTGTGCCCGGACGAGTGGCCCCTGCTGGCCTTCGTGTCCCTGCTGGCCCCCGCCCTGGCCCACGGCAACACTGTGGTCTTGGTGCCCAGCGGGACCTGTCCCATCCCCGCCTTGGAGGTCTGCCAGGTACCGTCACTTGCCTTCCTGCCTGTCCGCTGTGGCTCCCAGCAGCCCCAGGGCAGCAGACTGATGGAAGGTGCCCCCAGGCCCTCACAGAGCTCAGCTCTCCCCCCACCCCCTGGAGAACCCCAGTCCCAACATCCAAGCCTTCACTCCTTGTAGACCCAATGACCATTCTCTCTGGACCAGGACCCCAGCCCCATTCCTTCCGGGAGCCCATGGCCACTCCCCAGGTGCTCACACCTCGCCCTGCCCCCCTGCCCTTGGGCTCTCTCTCTCTTTCCCTTGCCACCCTGGATGACCCACTCTCCGATCCCCTAGGATGTGGCCACCTTGTTGCCAGCAGGCCTGGTGAACGTGGTCACAGGCGACCGTGACCACCTGACCCGCTGCCTGGCCTTGCACCAGGACGTCCAGGCCCTGTGGTATTTCGGATCTGTCCAGGTACGCTTTGTTTGCCTCTCCTCAGCATCTTTGGGAACATGGCGGCACCTGAACTCCCGTTGCTAAGGGGGAGAAACTCCTTGGCAACCAGGTTCTGAGGTCCTGCCCCGTTAGAGCCCGGCTGCTAAGGAAAAGGATCTCCTTAGCAACAGGGGCCTGAGACCCCGCCCATCCCAAACACCTAATCTTATTGGACAACCCATTGCTAAGGACCACATCCTAGCGACAGAGTCAGAAGCCCACTGTCCACCCTCTTAAACCTCCTTAACAAGAGCCTCGGGCCCCATTCCTTTGCATGTGGGCTGTCAACAGGGAGGAAATTCCCTAGCCACAAAGGTCAGCCCTGTTTCCCTCAGCATCTGGAAGTTTCTCTTGCTAGGAGCTGAGCAGTGTAGCCAGAGAGCCTAGGTCAAGCCTTGAGGCCCCTCCTCAGTAAGAGTCCTTGTTGCCAAGGCAGCAGCTGCTTAGCAACCAAGCCGCCGGAATTGCTGATGCCCCCTCTCCCCTCGCCAGGGCTCCCAGTTTGTGGAGTGGGCCTCAGCAGGAAACCTGAAGCCAGTGTGGGTGAACAGGGGCCTCCCGCGGGCCTGGGATCAGGACGCTGAGGGGGCAGGTCCAGAGCTGGGGCTGCGGGCAGCACAGACCAAGGCCCTGTGGCTGCCCATGGGAGACTGACGCCTGTGTACCACCACCGCATCTTGGACGGAGGAGAGATGGGTGCAAACTGTCACCAGACGCCTGAGACTTTCCTCTTATGATGGTTCCCGTGCTCTCTAAGACACCCTGACCAACCTCGGCTGGGCTTCTGAGGGGAGGGAGACAGCAAGCTGCAACTTCTGGTCTCTTTGAGGCCATTTGAGTTCTGAGACTTGGCAGCCCAGTGGGCTGGCTCCAGAACCACACAGTGTTTATGAAACCGATAAGGGGACCTTGGAAGCCCCAGCCAAGGCCATGGGGCCTCTCGTCTCTTCTGGTCTGCTCCATCCGGTGGCTCCTGCTCTTTAACTTTGTCTCCTCCTGCATTGCCTCAGAATCCATAGGGTGCTGGTCTAAAATAAAATTCAGTAGCTCTCTGCAATAAAACAAAAGCCCTGGTAAGTGACTTCTGCCAGTTTCCACAGTGTAAATGCTCCCACGGCGTCAGATTTCAAGCTCCAGATAATTGAACAACCAAATGACAGAATTCCTGAATTTTTTTCTTCTTTTTTTTTTGCTGAGGAAGATTTGCCCTGAGCTAACATCTGTGCCAGTCGTCTTCTGCTTTATATATGGGATGCTGCCACAGCATGGTTAATGAGCAGTGTGTGTATCTGCACCCGGGATCCAAACCCGCCAACCCTGGGCCACTGAAGTGGAGTGCACAACTTAACCGCTATGCCACCAGGCTGGCCCCCAGGATTGCTGAATTTTTAGCAGTCGGTTCCCGTGAGCCAAAATGAGCCACTCCACCATACCACTGTTTTAGAATTCTTTTCGATGCAAGGAACTCACTCATGCTAGCTTAGGATAAAAGGGAATTTTCTGGAAGGCTACAGAGATACCTTACCGAAGACAGGGCAAGACATGCATCCGGGCACCCTGGGTCCTGAGAACCTGGAGTGTAGGCACATCCTTTTTTCGTGGGCCCGGGATCTTTTGGGTCTTGTATCTGCCTGTCTGCTTCATTTGAATCTTTCTAGGAAAGACTTGACTTTAGGGAGGCTGCTTAACGGCTCTGAGCCTCACTTTCCTCATCTGTAAAATGGGGCTAAGTGACGGGTACACAGGACGTGCTTAATGAGTGTTGGCTTAATTAGAGGTTGATTTTGTCCTGGGCCACCTCTTGTCGGCATTGACTAAGTCTGGACGCAGAGCTTACCTCTCCCAGGACCTGGACGTTTGCACGGGAGCGACACGGAGGGAGGGGAGCGTTGGTGGGAAGGCTCTGGAAGGCTCTGGAAGGCTCGGGTTCCTGCCTGCAGTTTGACGACTCCCTCTGGACTCTGTGGGCTGCCTCAGGGTCCTTCTTGTTAATCTCTTGCCTTAACCAGCCCAAGCCCGTCTCGGCAGGTCCGTGTGCCCCCGGACGACGCTCAGCACTGCATCCCCGGGAGGGGAAGTCTGATTGGCCAGCCTAGGTCAGGTGTCCACTTCTGGTCCAGTCATCTCTGGCCGGGAGGCAGGAGCTCCTCATCAAAGCAGCATCCAGTCGGTCCAATATCCACTGGGCGCTTACTATGAGTAAGGCACTGTTCCAGGCGCTGGGGAGATGGCCGTGAACAAGAAGCTCCTGGCCTCCTGGAGCTGACATTCTGGTGGGCGAGGCAGGTATTTGTTTGCAGTTGCTGCTGTAACAAATGATCACAAAGTTAGTGGCTTAAATAAAACAACACAACGTGTGACCTTACAGTTCTGGGAGTCAGGAGTCCAAAGTGGGTCCAAAATCAAGGTGTCGGCAAGGGCTGCAAGTTTGTCCCAAGGGCACTAGGGAGCCATAGAGGGTCTATGAGCAGAGGAGAGGCAGTCTCAGCTCTGGTTGAAAGACATACAGAGGTAACCTAAGGTGCCATGTACTATAATAGAGGAAACTCGGGGCACCCTGGGGGCCCAGAGAAAGCACCCTAGCCAGCCTGAGAGTGGGGGGGATGAGAGGTGGCAGGAATCTTCCCAAGGAAGTTGCCGTCTCGTTGAATTTTTTTCTAACTTTATTGAGATATGATTGACCAATAAAAATTGTATATATCTTGGTTGTACAACATAATTTTTTCAAGGTGTGCAACGTGACGATTTAATATGTATGTGCATTGGGAAATGATTACCATGGTCAAGTTAATCAACACCCCCGTAACTCCACATAGTTACCTTTTATATATGTTGTGTAGACACGGGAGATCTACTGTCTTAGCGACTTTCAGGTCTACAATTCTTGAAACTGGTATTGACTAGTTTTGTTAACTATAGTCACCATATTGTACATTAGAGCCTCAGAACTTATTCGTCTTTTAACTAAAAGTTTGTACTTTTTGACCAACATCTCCCCATTTCCCCCAATCCCCAGCTCCTGGCAACCACCATTCTAGTCTCTGGTTCTATGAATTCAGCTTTTTTAAGCCATTACTTGCTCTTTTTTTTTTTTTTTTTCTGGTGAGGAGGATTGGCCCTGAGCTAACATCTGTTGCCAATATTCCCCTTTTTTTTTTCCTCTCCAAAGCCCCAGTACATAGTTGTGTATCCTAGTTCTTAAGTCCTTCTAGTTCTCTGTGGGACGCCACCACATCATGGCCTGATGAGCAGTGTGTAGGTCCGCACCCAGGATCCGAACCGGCAAAAGCCTGAGCCACAAAGTGGAGTGTGTGAACTTAACCACTGAGCTACAGGGCCAGCTTTTTTAGAAGCTGAATTCAGCTTTTCTAGATTCCACATATAAATGAGATCATACCGTATTTGTCTTTCTCTGTCTGGCTTATTTAACGTAACAATGTCCTCCAGTTCCATCCACATTGTCACCAATGGCAGGATTTCCTTCTCTTTTTTTTTGAGGAAGATTAGCCCTGAGCCAACATCTGCTGCCAATCCTCCTTTTTTTGCTGAGAAAGACTGGCCCTGAGCTAATGTCTGTGCCCATCTTCCTCTACTTTATTCGTGGGACGCCCACCACAGCATGGTTTGCCAAGCGGTGCCATGTCCACACCCGGGACCCGAACCGGCGAACCCTGGGCCACCGAAGCGGAATGTGAGCGCTTAACAGCTGTGCCTCCGGGCCGGCCCCTGTATACTGTTTTTCATAGTGGCTGCACCAACTTACATTCCCACCAATGTTACCGCCTGAAGCGGGGTCGTCTACCCGCCACAAGACATGCCCGTGGTCAAGAGGCAAGGAGGTAGGAGAGACAGGACTTTTTATTACAACTTGCTGGCAAAGGGGAAGACGGCCGACTGATGTCCAAGAGAACCATCTTCAGGGGGCGCAGAATCTGGAAGCCGTTACACAGGCCGGTGGGTTACAGGGAGGGGGTAGGAAACTCCGGACCCCTGGTGTTGCAGCCTGGGACTTGCACATCAGACCTTTCAGCTGTCATGGATATCGGCGCGGACTCTCTGGAGGCCATCACATTCCTGGAGAACTCGAAAGAACAAAGCGATCATCTTCCCGCAGCTGGGAGGGGCTGCAAAATCTACAGAGCCTGCAAATTCCCCGGCGCAGGACGATTACTTATCTAGGCAACGAAAGCAAAGATTCAAGGGGCCGGTGAGTCAGGGTTATTCATGGTTCCAATATGGCTTCTCCAGGTTGGCTTCTCTTACGCTAACTGTGTTGAGGCGGTGTCCCCAACAGTGCAGAAGGGTTCCCTTTTCTCCCTGCTTCTCTCTGGCTTTTGGGTAACAGCCATCGGAACAGGCATGTGGTGATACCTCATTGTGGTTTTGATTTGCATTTCCTGATGATTAGCGATCGCAGAGTCTTCCAGGACACTGACGATCTGATTAGGCTAGAAAGGTGGTGGCGGGAGAGCATCCTAGGCAGAGGGAACAGCATATGCAAAGGCCCAGCGGTGGGAAACAGCCTTGAGGGAACTGTAGTGGGTTGAGTGGTGGCTGCTCAAAAAGATGTGTCCACATCCTGACCTGGAACCTATGAATATGACCTTATTTGGACAAACGGTCTTTGCAGATAGAATTAAGTTAAGCATCTCAAGATAAGCTCATCCTGGGTCATCCGAATGGGCCCCACATCTAATGACTTGTCCTTATAAGAAAGAGAAGAGATGGGACGCGGTGAGAAGAGGAGAAAGTCGTGTGAAGACGGAGGCTGAGAGAGAACTCAATCTGCAGCGCCTCTCTTCTTTCCCCAGAGGTTGGAGGTTGGAGGTCAGAGGTCGGCAAGTTGGGCTGATACCCTGTGCCTCTAAGCCCCAACCTAATCACATGGTTGGGCCTTCTGGCCTGACCAGCCCCCTTCCTGAGTCTCGTCAGCATAAACTCAGGGGTGGCCAGGGGGCTCCCCACGAGTAACCAAGACACCGCTATCACTTTTCCGGAAATTCCAAGGGTTTAGCGGTTGGTTGCCTCCCGGGAACCAGAGACAAAGAGCAGACGCGTTCCCTACTATACGACAATAACGAGGAAGGAAAGAGGCCAGGCTCTGTCTGTCCCTCCACTTAACAAATACTGATTGAGCACCTTCCACGCGCATCTTACCCAGCAGGGTGAGCAGACACCCACTGTGGTCCTCCCGGAGCCGACGTCCCAGTGGGGGCAACTCACAAGAAGATAAGTAAACTGTGGGGTGTGTCAGAAGGCGATAAGTGACAAGGGAGAGAGCAAGGAGTGGGGGTGCTGGGAGGGGGCGCCATTTGAGAAAGGGTGGTGGGGGAGGAGTGTATTTGAGCAAACCCCTGATGAGGTGGCGGTGAGCCATGTGGGTGTCTGGGGGAAGGGCATTCCAGGCTGAGGGAACAGCCAGTGCAAAGGCCCTGGGGCAGAAGTGTGCCACCCTCTGGCACAGTGAGGAGGCGGGGGCAGAGAGGGGACAGGGCCAGGTCCTGCAGGTCTGTGTGGGCCACGGTGAGGAGTCTGATTCTGAGTGTGGTGGGAGCCAAGGGAGGCTTTGGAGCGGCGGAGGGGCGTGAGCTGACCTGCAGAACACCCTGGCGGTGCTGGTGGTGAGGGCTGTCGCAGGGAGCCGCCTGAGGAGGCGACAGTGATATGCAGGTGGGAGATGGTGGTGGCAGCACCCAGGTGATGGCAATGGGGGTGGTGAGAAGTGGTGGGACTCTGGATACATTCTGACAGTCATTCAACAAATCTGCTGATGAGCTGGACTGTCCGTGGGCAGCGAAAGGCAGAGGTCATAGGTCAACTCCAGGGCTTTGGGCCTGAGCACCTGGAGGGATGGCGCTGCCGTCTCCCTGGATATGGGAGGGGGCGTTTCGAGGCGGAGGTGAAGGGCTTGGGGGCCCAGCGGCCCGCTCACTGTGTGTCCCGTCCCGGAGTCAACCCCACCTCATCCTTCGCGCGCGTAGGCCGAGGCGCCCTCCGCGGTGTGACCCCCACCTGTCACCACCAGGGGGCGCCCCTTGCCTCGGCCAAATCCACCCTGCTCCCCGTCTACCCCAAATTTCCCTTTCACTTTCGGTCTCCGGCTGTCACCCGGCCTGGCCCCTTCCACACCCAGCTGGGGCAAGCCTGGTGCGTGAGGAGCAATGGGCTCGGGTCCCCGAGGGGCGGGGCCGGGGTCTCCCTCCCGGTGCCGAGGGCGGAGGGCTGGGGGTCGGGCTCCTGGGTCCCCGGCCTGGGGAGGGTTCCGGGGACCGGACGTCGGGGTTCTTGGAAGGGGAGATGAGGACCTTTCGCCGTAACTGGGGCTCACGCAGGAAGCCCGTGGGAGTCGGAGGCGGAAACTTAGCCACATCAAGGGGCCGAGGGAGGGGCGGGGAGGTGGAGGGGCGGACGAGGAAGGGGCTGGGGTGCGGGGGTCCGAGACTCGCTCCTCTGTCCCTTCCAAGATCCAGCCACAGGCATGAGGGGCCCCCGGCCGAGATGATAGTGCTGGCGCCAGCCTGGAGCCCAACTGTGCGTATACCAGGGAGAGAAGGAGGGGGAGAGGCAGGGCCGAGAGGGGAGACCGAGGGGTGAGGGGTGGAGAGAGGTGGGGAGATGTGGACAGAGGTGGAGGGAGAGGTGGACAGAGGTGGGGGAGATGTGGACAGAGGTGGGGGAGATGGAGGGAGGTGGGGGGAGATGGAGAGAGGTGGGGGAGACGTGGACAGAGGTGAGGGAGATGGACAGAGGTGGGGGAGATGGAGAGAGGTGGGGGAGATGGAGAGAAGTGGGGGGGAGATGGAGAGAAGTGCGGGAGATGAACAGAGGTGGGGGAGATGGACAGAGGTGGGGGAGATGGAGAGAGGTGGGGGAGATGGAGAGAAGTGGGGGGGAGATGGAGAGAGGTGCGGGAGATGAACAGAG